GTTGTTAAAAAACTGGTCATTTGATAAGCTCTCGTCAACAAAAATGCTATGCAATGTGCTGTAAAAGTTCAATTTAAATCTAATTTTCTATATAAAAAAAACTTATTTTTTCATAAATTATAGATGTTGATCTTAAATTATAAATACATGAAATTTCTTTTTCTTGTTGTTTATTTTTTAAAAAGTGTAAGGGTGATACTAATTCTAAAGTTTCTATAAACCTGATGGTACACGTATTTATAAGTAAACATATTTTTTATGTGCAATGAGCGTTCCAGCTAAACTACAAGCTCGTTATTTAACATTTAAAATCGGGCTACCCAGATTAAAATTCCTAGATTTTCAAGCAATTTTTTCTTAAATTGTTTACTTTTGAAATTAGGGAAGAACTTTTGATGAATTTAATTCGGAGTGTACATATATAATACATTCTAATAATTACGAGACTAGTATTTGTCCTATATTCGGGGATCAACCTTTTGGATCAAAATCAAAACTAGTCCAACTTCGTGTACGAAAATATAATCGAATTCTTGAAGTTTGTGTTACTTACACGATGCTCTCTTAAATTAAATATAAATAGTTATAAACGTCAAGTGCCTATTTCAAATATTCTTTTAAATAAATTTGGTCGTTTAATTTTATTTTTTTGTATGAGCAAAATACTTAAAAAAAAAATAAATAAATGAAGATAAAAGAACTCATAAAAATGTACCTACTTTACACCAAACTTCTCTTCATGATGTACAATTTGTTTGTATCTTTGAAAAGGATTGTATATCGTCATATATAAATATTAGAAGGTTCAACACAAAGCAAATTAAGTATGCTCAGAAATTGCGCGAAACTCCGTGTAACCTGTAAGAATATTCAAATGAATATGCATTACGAATTTCCAGTTTATGAATAATATAGTTGATCAACTATATTTATTTCATTAGAAGGAATTAACACATAGTTTACCTTAAACAAGATTTGAATAGGGTTCGTGGCATTCACCTAATAACCACCACAAATTAATATAAACCAATTTCAAACAAGTTGTAATTTATGTAATTTCATTTGAATACAGCCGTGTCTCCTTCAATTTGTGCTTAAGGTTTATAGTTAAGCAAAATTTGATGCCTTGACAAAAAAATAAGGGGGGGTCATACTTTTATTTATAAAATATATATTTTACTGTATGACAATTAAGTGTATAAGCATATATATTTGTGAGAAAGGTATGAATGCCTAACAATTAAACAGCATAACAGAAAACCATCCGATGATGAAAATATCATATTTTTCTACGAATGCAAGATATTCTTTTCTG